TTCTCAACTGCACCTCACTTCGGCTTGTTAAGTGCTGAACTCTGGGCAAAGAACATAAAGTAGCTGATGAACTATGGTTTGCTTTCTCGAGTCTCAACTGAACCAGTTATCCAGTTAGAGTTAGGGTTAACCTTTTAATCTGGAGATCAGAAGGATACAGATTATGACTAGGAGATCTTTGAAAATTATTTTTGTCTGTAATTTCTGTGTTCTTCTGTTATAGAGTTTGCCAAAATAGTGAATAATATAGCTGTGTTTAAATAAGGGCCCTTTCACACCTACATTGTTTGGTCTGGACTTTCAGACTTTTCAATTTGATCCAAACCAAAATGAAAGTTGTGAAATCTGCCCAGACCACAGTCTGGAACAAACAGCTAAACCTTGGTCCGATGCAAAGACGTCGTCTTGGTCCAAACTGAGCCATGGTTTGGTTTGGTTCTGGTGGTCCATATTTTGGATGGTTTGGACTTTTGGATCAAGTACAGGAAGTTTCGGCAGGCTATCTGGAAGTGATAAGAGTATTTGTAGTACCTCAGTGCATAATGTGTGTGTGTGGTTCAGCGACAGAGAGAGTGACGGTGGCTGCACTTAGAGCAGACAGCCGTTGGTGGTTGAAGCAGAGGAGAAATTAGCAGGAGAGTTGTCAAGTGGTAGTAAATGTAAAGGGTAGGTCTCAGTTTGTCCGTGAACACGGAAATATAACAGAATGAGTCATTGGAGAAGATTTTATAAAGAGTCACAAAAACTCTAACAATTTCCAAGTATTTTCCAAGGGGATACGAAAAGACAGAAGAACCCGTCTACAAACCACTCAGTGTAATGTTCAAGGAGACATATCTTGCATTGAGACGCAGTTCATGAAGGGGACACAGCTCACTTAGGATACATGGCTCACATAGGAGACACAGCTCATGTAAGGAGACACAGCTCATGTCGGAGACACAGCTCATGTTGGAGACACAGCTCATGTAGGAGACACAGCTCATGTCGGAGACACAGCTCATGTTGGAGACACAGCTTATGTAGGCAACACAGCTCATATAGGAGACCTGGCTAATGTAGGAGACATGGCTCACGTAAGAGACAAAGCTCTTGTAGGAGATACAGCTTATGTAGGCAATGTGGCTCACATAGGACACAGGGCTTACATAGGAGACACAGCTCACGTAGGAGACACAGCTCATGTAGGAGACATGGATCACGTAGGAGACACGGATCACATAGGAGACACGGCTAACACATAGAACAAGGGGTTTATTTCCTTATCCGCTGAGAGGGTCCTAAGGACAGAGGGATGTCATATGCTGTAAAGCCCTCTGAGGCAAATTATGATTTGTGATACTGGGCTTCATAAATAAAATTGATTGATTGATTGATTGAAGACACGGCTCACGTAGGAGACACAGCTCACATAGGTAATGATGACAGGCCATAATTATACCATGTATACTTCTTCAGTGAGCTCACATAATTGCAATGTCAAACCAAAACTAACCACGTAAAATTAATACACTGTAACAAAAATGTGAACCTTGGTTTGGACCTTGGTTCAGATTTCCAGGTGTGAAAAGGTATAATAACACTTTTTTTTAGCACTGACGCGTCATATCATGACATTTAACATGTAACATTTAGATGTATCAGAAGTTTTTAGACATGAAATCTAAAACATTGCTGGCTTCATCTGTCTCTTAAAAGTGACTGCTTTTGGACTTTCAAACATAGGTGTCTATTATGGATATTTTCTACACTGACTTTGTTGACAGGACAGTTATAAACACAGCTGTGATGCAGTGGCAGCATAACTAGGGAACAGCAGTGATTTGGAAATAATTTCATCAAGGAACCAGAATGTTTTCAGGTCTCACAGGTGCATGGATGACGGATTGTGAAACTTGCTTTGCACTTTAATGAATGTTTACCTGCAGACCTTAACTGCAGCCACTGGCAGCTCTGGGCTTGCTTCTACTTCCCACACAACCTTGCAGATCCACTAATAAAATCTGTCATGAGTTTCCTCATTCATTACATTATTGCCTGTGTCTGAGAGCACAGACACACTGTTAAAATAATAGCTTATTTTGGGAAATGCGGTTATTCCTTTTTTTTTTTTCTTTTTTTTTTGCAAAAAAAAGGCGAGAGTTTGATGAGAGGATTGATGACACATTTGAATGCATTCAAGGTGTCCTGTGGACTTTTCTTGTACAACAAAAAAGTTATGTTTATATTCAGTTTTTGATGTGTGTTTTCCTTGAGGCCTAACAATGCCTTGCATTTCCTATCTCATAAAACATTTGGAAACAGACGTATATCGTCACAAGCTGGAGCTATTTCACTCCAGACACAGTTACTCCCTGGACTCTTGTTTAACCATGAGGTTGCCAGGCAACCAGTGGACAGTTCAGTCACCGTCACTAACTGATTGTTTATATTTTGAATTTTAGCCAGGCTAGCTGTCTCCAATCTTTATGCAAAGCTGAGATAAGTCAACCCAGTTGCGAGAAAAGACTTTGGCATTGTACGTTCCTGCAAACCATGGATATTTTACATTTGCATGTTATTATGTAGCAGATACTTTGAAATTTTATTTTAACTCAACAACTCTGTGGTTAATGTTTGGTTATGTTTTTGGGGGGCACGGTCACTGCTGGAGAAGCAACGAACACTCAAAAAAAAAAAACCCAAATACCTTTGGTGGCACTATCCCAGCTGGAAAAACATTGGTGACATAGGCGACATGCTATCCACCATCCCCAGAAATGTGCATATGGTTTCAGAAACATACAATGCTAACATTTTCTTCTGCTGATTTGACAGTTACTACAAATGTGTCTTAGTAAGGAGGCCCTGGCCTCTCAAATAAATTTTCAAAGTGCCTTTTGAGTCACTCATAACGCAACACACCATGAAGACATCAAATCTAGAGTGATGGAAGTGCTGTGTAGAATCCATGATGCACTATAGAGGACTATATGGAGAACAACAGTCTGTGGACAGGTGCCAAAATAAGTTGTAATAACCGCGATTTGATGATGCGATTGTTTCCAGGGCAAAATGATGGACTATCATTTCTCATGCTTTTGCTATGGAATGCTGGTTCACCAGCGTAGCTAAATAGTTACTGACACCTATGTCTCTACCACAGCAACCCATGCAGATTTTATATCCAATCTGACTTGCAGATCACTTGCAAATAAAGGCCAATTTATAAACTGTAGCCATCGGTAGTGGCCTGCACCAGTGGGCTATGCTAGTGGTCTATGCTAGTGGCTTACACTGAAGGGTTATGCTAGTGGTCTACGCTAGTGGGCTATGCTAGTGGCCTATGCTGGCAGGCTATGCAAGTGGTCTACACCAGTAGACTATGCTAGCAATCTATGCTAGTGGTCTACGCTAGAGGGCTATGCTAGTAGCCTATGCTAGTGATCGACGCTAGTGGCCTATGCTTGTGGGCTATGATGGTCGTCTACACTAGTGGTCTACACTAGAGGGCTATGCTAGTGGTCTACACTAGTGGCCTACGCAAATAGGCTATGACGGTTGTCTATGCTAGTGGTCTACGATAGTGGCCTACGCTAGTGACCTATGCCAGTGGTGTACGCTGTTGAGCATTTACAGTTGTAGGATAGTGTGTCTTTTTCGCTCTGCAGTCACACCTTCAAAACGCATGTTAGCAGTGGGGTTTAATGCCACTGCATTGAGTTTCTTTGAAGTGCAGTAAAGTTTGGTCGTTTTGACTAACACATCTAACACATCTAAAACATGGTTTAATAGAAAAACATATCAAACAAAAGAACAAAACGTCATTATGACTCAGGTTCACAGGCAAATGTCTTTTTCCGGGCACATTTTCCCCAATAATACAACATGCTTACGTTATTGGTATTAGCCTGACATTTTACATTGCATGACTTAGTCTAGCCTTACTGCAATGTCATTGTAATGGTGCCTGCATTCTGAACATAGCCTTTTTCATCAAGGCATTGCTGCATTTCCAGCGGGGATTTTTCCACCAAAACCAGGTATTTAAAATCAAAATGACCTTTTCCTATCCATAACCAAGTGGTTTTTGTGCCTAAACTTGAGCACGTCAACCACAAGCATTGTTGAAATGTAGAGTTTCAACATATCCACTAATAACATGCAAATGTAGTATCCGTAGTAAGTATCCAAAGTTTGCAGAAACGTATAATGCCAGTATTTTTTCTGGCAGTTGGGTTGGTAGTAATTTAATCTGAAACGCATTTCAAACCACCTCCACATATGGTTTGGCTGTGACTTGCAAAAACTGCATTTCATGTGATCTTTTGCTGTCCAGCCTCTAAAATCAATCTGGATATAATCTCGATGAGCCAAAAGATGGATTTAGACTGGCAGTCTGAACAATGCCTTAGTTCCTGTTTTACTGACATGGTTTTATTTTGAAGGTTACGTTTTTTTGCTGGGTTTTCTACAAAGTTGACATGGACGGAAAGACTTGACGAATGAGTTCTTTTCTCTTTTTCCAACTACTTAAAAAAGTCTGCACCTACACATTAGATTTTGCTCATTCACAGTACTTCATGATTCATTTAACCGACTGTATTTCTTAATGGGAAGGCTATGTCCGTTTGCCCTTAAAATGACTTCCAGGGGCAGTCAGATGAGTTATGGACATATTTGTAGTCTGGAGGAGGGAAGGATGCGTCTCGGCTGAAGAGGAAAGGTGTCTAGTTGTGAAAACAAACCCAATGGTTCTTTCCTCTTGCTCCTTTCTTGAACTTCCTTCCTTCCTGGGACTGTGAGAGACGTGAGGAGCATGAAAGGTTCCACAGCCCTTCTGGATGGACAGTTTGGTTATATAATTTTCATTATGCACAAGATACATCAGTATGCTCACATACAGCTACAGTAAAATGCTTAGATTTAGTCATTTGTTTCAGATGTATGACTAGTTAAGGGTTACCATGGTTGAATGTACTCATTCTGAGTTTGTATTTGTTTATTTTTTTCCTTAACAGGAGCGATACAGCGGAACCCCAACTTTCTATGTCACCACTCCTTCAGAGGGAGCTAGGGCTCTCAGTCTGTCCTGACCATGTCAACACATCTGTGCTGTGTAACCAATTCACTCCTCTTCATAGGCTTTTCTGTTTGATTTTTCTTTTCAGTTTTTACTATTAAAATAAAATGATATGCCGTTATGCACACTGCAGCTAATTGAAAATCACTCCGTTTATGATGAAGTGCCTTCACAGTAAAACATTGGTTTCTCTATAATATTTGATTTTGTTTGTTTGTTTCAATCATGCAAGACTTTATCATCATCTAGATAACTTGTAGTAGCTGTTTGTGTTATTACGACTTATTTACTGTGAAAATACAGTAAATATACTATGAACTAAATCATGTTAAAATGTGAAAAATTTTAATATGACATTTTTCTTTAATTTTTTTCTTAAAGGCCTAGTGTGTAAGATTTAGGGGGGAATGTTGGCAGCACTGGAATATAAGTGTTTTCTCTGGTGTATAATCACCTGGAAATAAGAATCCTTGTTTTGTTCATGACCTTAAAATGAGCCATTTACATCTACATAGGGAGCAGGTCCTTGTTTATGAAGATCGCCATGTTTCTACAGTAGCTCAGAATGGACAAACCAAACACTGGCTCTAGATAGGGTTATTAGTGCTTTTGTGTCGGCCATCGTAGTTAGCAGCCCCTCTGCGACAAACAGCATTGGAAAACACTGATTTGTAATGTGACTGTGCTTCATTCAGTGTTTATACCGGTTTAAATTTTAATTAGGTCTGTTTGTTTTTGAGGGGAAGAGACCTCTGTGGATAATCTGACTCCCAGTAAAAACCTCCTTAATATCTGGATCTTAAGTCATAAGAGAAAAAAGGCGAGCACACACATAAGCATGTGGTGGGCAAGCCGCCTGTCTCTAACATGCCAAACAGCGTTGGAGAAACACTGATTTTGTTAAATGAAACTGCTTTATTCAGTGTTTTTACTGGTTTAAATCACTGGCTCTTTTTGGTTTGGAGAAGAGGAGACCTCTGCTGATCATTCAGCTCCCGGTCAAAACCACCTGAATATCTTGATCAGATTAAAGTGAGCACACATTAGGTTATTAGGGGAAAATGTAAGCACACAGCATGTGGTGGGTGAGCTGCTGATCTGCAGCCTGCTAAACAGTATTGGAGAAACAATGATTTGTAACATGAAACAACTTTATTCAGTGTTTTTACCAGTTTAAATCAATTTAGGAGGAGACATCTTTGGCTAATTCAGCTCCCTTAAAGAACCTCCTGAACAATAAACAGTGAAGGAATTCTATAACCAGAAGTTTCAGCTAGTTGCAATCTGCAATCCTCACCACTAGACACCACTAGATTTCCCTAAATCTTACACACTGGAGCCTTAATATTTTTAATATGAACATCTTATGTCTTCCACCTTGTTGTTATAGTTTCAAAACACATTTTGAGTATGATTTAGTCTCAGCATTTTTATCAACCTCATTTCCAGCAGTAGGCAACTGTTTTCAGCAACAACAAAAAAAGCACTCCATAAACACACTGTACGCTACCTGCTCAGCACCAGACAGCACACAGACACAGTTAGAGATCAGCTGGTGAACAAAGTAGGGGATTTAGCAGCTATAATGAACCAGACACTTTTTATGAGTTGGTGGAGACCAAAAACAGAGCTAGAAGGGTGTTGCTCTAACATTCATCACAGGGACACAAACCTGTGATGACAATATCGCTCAGTGTCTGTTGGATGTATAAATGTCTGTGAACAAATTAGCCATAATAACTTTGTAAGGCAATAAAATATCAGGCCACTGTTTGTCAGCCCAATAGTAGCCAAAATGAAGTATGCTTTAAAGGCCCTGCACACGCACACAGAGGTCTTTAATTATTCTGGCTAACTTAACCTCTGCCTGCCTGCTTGAGAATTGCATATTGTCAGTAAATTTAACATATATAAAATTTAACATATGTTAAATTTCAAGTAAAACCAACAGAGAAATTCTAAGTTGCAGGAAATGTCACATTAGTTAGCCAAACTTAAATAAATGAGTTGTTTGGAATATACACACAATTTATTTTAATTGAAATTACTAAAATGTTGGAAAATCTGTAATTCTAAGAATTCTATAAGAAATTAAGAGTACATCTAAAGCAAATTATCAAGTACTCCATTCTGTTCTTTAATTACTTAAATTCGAGTGTAAGTGTCCTACACTAAACCAGCATTTGTTAGTACATCATACGGTACCTATTCCATCTTACTTAATCAAATAAGTACCTTGTTTTTTTAGGCAGTCAGTTTGCATGTTTTTTTTAAAAGTAAAGTTAAGTCATTAGAATTTAGAATGCACTAAAAAAAATGATAGTACAGCTTATACTGAAGGTACATTTGCCCCACCCTGACAGGTGACAACAAAACTGACAAGAGGGTCAGCAAGACGTCAGTCAAACAGTCTTAAGAAGAGGCCTAATCAGACAGGTTAAGTGAAAATACCTGTGAGATGAGCCATGGGTATGCAGGGGCTTTATATTATTTTACTGAAGTTTAGTACAATGAATCTGTTGTTTTCAGATAAATAACATAACTACTTTTGCACTTCTCCTGCAGTTAGTTACACCGGAAGTCTTATTTTCCAATATACTCCGTTATCACAGCCCGCCCCTGTTCAAAATCAAATGATCAAGATGTACTGTATTTTGGATTTATGAGAATAAAAAATATTTTAAATCAATCTCTGCTTTTGGTATCTTGATTAAAAAAAACTTATGTCTTGTTTTTATTTTCCACTGTAAGAATGCTCTACAGAAGATGTCATACCAGTTTACGTTTTCAAAGACCTTCCATTTGACTCAAAGGAAAGGTCAGATAAAATTATTGGCTTTATTAATGAGACTTTTATAGCATTTTGTCAAAAGTTTGTTTCCACTCAGTGCCTACATTTTAACACTGCAACATTCGGCCATAGTGGTATGGTATCTTGTAATTATGGACTTAAGATTTACTGAAATATGGTAACCTCTAATTGTGTGTGTGTAAATGCATTGAATGTTGCCTGTTACTGTTGATACTGTCAGGTTACACAAACTAACTGATTCATCATTTTAACACACAGTAAAATTTTGTTAGTATCTAACAACCACATTTCCTAGCGGACAAGCTTAAAGCCTCACAGTGAGGGGTGTCGTAATGAGGGGAAAGGTGGGACTGATCACCAGAGCCTCAATGGGAGGGGCGCACTCTAAAAGCCAGGAATGAAAAGTTTTGTTTTGTTTGCAGTTTTGTATTTATAGTGCCAAGACCATATTAAAATTGGCTGAAAGGCTGAACTTTATATTAACAAATAGCGCAAGCCTTTGGAGGCCTGTCTCATCCCTTAAAGGTGCAAAATGGGTTAGTCTGCCCTTGGACTAGGATTTCTCTAAATGGGAGGGCCGAGTGAGAGACTGGAGCATCAAGGTACATGTAGGGGCTGTACACATGCCATGTTTTTTGTGCCCTCTAATCAAATGTTTTCAATGCAGACACACGGCAGGTACACTCAAACGCCAGAGCGATGCCTGAGTGATGCACACAAGTTCCTGCGCACCTATATTTTATGGTGCTACAGCAGCACTCTAAGATAAACTGAGCTCAGCTTTTGGAAGGCAGCAGCACACACCACATGTCATCTGACAGGGAACAACCAATCACAACCGACAGATGTCTTTCCCGTCTTTCGTAAATATCAGTCTGTGATAAATATGAAGAAGTTGTTGATCATTTTAGTGCAAGGCTACCCAGAGCTTTATATCTGTCTCATGGACAATATTTTAGGCCTACACACTTATAAAAATAGCTCATGGAGGAAGATAAACTCTGCACTTAGGATTTCATATAAGAAGGCTATGATACAGTGCTGGTTATGGTTGCTTAGCAACTTCAGACAAACTGTCTATGCACTCTTGTTAGATGGCATAGAATAGGCACAAGAGTCACACGCAGCACCCAACCTCATGTTTTCCAGGCGGTAAAGATGCAACGTGCGCATGGCCCTTTACAAGTCTTTCCCTATAAAAAGGAAATCAGGCTTCCAAAAGAGGAAGGAAGGAAAGAGAAAGAAAGAAAGAAAGAAAGAAAGAAAGAAAGAAAATTAACTTTGTAAAAAAAAATAAAAGTCAGAGACGTGTATCAAGACAGGAAGGATGGGGGGTCCACAGACACTGCTTATGCATAGGGTTCAGAATCTGGTGCTATGCCCCTGCTCATGGTAGTTATAGTTGTGGAAGTATCCAAATAATTGTTCCTTTATCCTTGTTAAAATTCCAACATATTTAAATGTTCAAGTCCTGTAGAATTAGATATACATTTTGCTAAGAATATGGACAGTGTCACGGTTTCAGAAAGAATGATGAAGCCCTTCATGCAAATCTGCACTGACCTATATGAAAGCTTTTTGCTCAGGAGCTAACGCGGAAGTGGGGCGGGACTTTATAACGAGGTGCACTTGAATGCATCACAAGGGAGGAGTTAGCAAACAGTGAAGTTTAGCCTAGCAGGAAACACCGAGGCTACCACCGCAGCGGTGGAAAAAGAAAGCAGCGGTCCCAGTTTTAGTTTTTCACCCGGGGCTCAGTCGTGATATTTCCTCGGCAAATACTGTCGCTTGGATCCTGGGAGTACTCGCAAACGGTCTGGACACATTTTCCCCGACTTTATATGAGGATAGCGCTCGTAGCCAACTAAATCAGCAGACACTGGCCGGAGGAGGAATCTTATCCAGCGGCTGTAAACGGTGTACGTCGGCTGAGCAACGGCTGTTTTGAATCAGGTGGGTTGGCAGCTGGTGCCCACAGGTGTTTGCTTGCGAGCCAGTTGGCTAACAATTGAATTGAGTTACCGTGTTCATCACGGGCACCGGTTTTCTGAACGGCTCTAACTCAAGCTAACAAAGTTGCTAGTTTAGCCAGACATCATTCTTCCAAATGCTCACTGGCTAGCTGGCTAATAAGTACTCCTCATATTCCACCCAGAAATTGGGCAGCTTAGTGTTGTTGGCGTACATAGTAGCTAATTTGCACATTTCATAGACTTAGTTAGCCACACTGTTGTCTGTAACGTTGCCGATAACAACCGACAAAAGGTTGTCTAAACGGCAGGAACAGGAATTGCTTTACTTCACTAACATACTCCACCGAAAAAAAATCACAACGTTAGTTGGGTGGTCACTAACAGCACTAATTTATCTTTTACAACTTGTCTTGTGCTTTAATAGTTTGCTTGGTTAATTTCTCTCATGACGACTGTACTTTGCGTGAATGAAGAGGGTCTGTTTATAACAGTAAAACGACACTTTTTGAACAGGGTTTGGTAAGGATTAGTTTAAACTAATCTCGTAACGTTACTCTGTTTTGCTAACCACTGGCAACTGTAAACCAACAGTAAACAATGCATACAGGCACAACTCACTAGCTTCAGCAGGCGTTAGCACACACCTGGGCGTAATGATGGTGACTTGAAGCCGTTTATTTATCAAGTCCAGAACTGAAAATTATCAAGACCTATATTAGTGGTTCAACCTATGACATCAGTGGTACCGAAGAAACCGTGGCGTTTCTTGCTAACCACAGTGTGCAGCCAGGTGAGTAGTAGTTGAAGATTGTGTTGCATAATTACGGAAACGTCTAACTTCAGTAAGGTGTGTCTCCCCAGCAGGTATGTTAGTAAGCCCTTTGAGTCAACGGTCTGGTTTCAAGCATGAGTAACTGGTGTGTTTGAGGAGGGGGTGTGTGTGAGAGAGTTTCACCGGTTTGGCAAGTTTCAATAAGATTCACAACAAAATAACAAGATTTAGAATAAAATACATGACATTACACAGCCCTACTCACATGGTATCCATTGAGCCAAATCTAACTCTTGATTTGCCCAGTTGTAGTGCTAAACTATGACACATGTGAGTCAACTGCATGCTCATCCAATAAACTCTATAAATATAACTGAGTCCTGCCTCTTTAAGTCATAGTATGATTTACTTTGACAGACGTAACTTGTATGGACTGTTGAGCACAAACTGCAAAAAAGTCCCATAATCTGGACAGGATACTGCTGAAGGACACAGGCTGTGTCCTTCCAACTCCACCTGCATCAGCACAAGACTAGCCAAACAAAAAGCCTTTGTTCTCGGTTGACTTGGTGCTGTTACACCTGCATGGTAAAGTCCACCTGTAGCTATTATGGAGGCAAAATAAACGGCCCCTCCCAAATGTAGGGCAAGTATTTTAGAGGAGCAGGCTTGAGCGAAAGCAGGATTTTTTCAGCTATCTTAGCTGTACAAACTTTGCAGATATACAAGCAAGACTGTCACAGAGTTGTCTTTAAAGTTTTGTTTTTTAAAATTTGAACTGTTAGTTATTTGTCTAACCTTACATGGGCGAGATGTCCAAGAGGCGTACCTTGCTTGTAAACTTCAAACAGAGTGCTTGGCTCAGACTGTCACGCTGTGTTTAGCGCTGTTAACTTTTAACTCCACTCCTGTTTTACCTCTCCCAATGTGCAACACATTATCTGGCAGGAAATGAAGCGTTTTCTGTGGTTTGCTAATGGGATGGCATAGGAAGTCGAAACGTCCTCTTGCTCATCAGGTTTTCTAACAGATATGCCAGGACAGAGCTCATTGTGAGAATGTGTTATGTGTAAAATTACTTTGACAAGTAATGTATGAGTTGTTTTCAAAAGGGTCACAACAACTGAGGATAAATCAATACAGTGGGCAAGTTGGCATGTAGTATGAGTCTCATATCAAAGTCCACATTAAGGTAGGGCTGAATATGATTTGAGGAAAATAGCCAATTGTGATTAAAATTGCAACTGTTTTTTTTTTTTTTTTTTTAAATTAAATTCAACACGCATTGGTTAGAGGACTGTACCAAACGTGATGGTTCCATTTCCTAGTCTTCTTTGTCATATGCAGAAGTAATCTGAATACATCACCTCAGCCTGAAGGAAATGACAAAGTGCCTTTTATTTATACAATCGATCAATTTATAGACCAAACGGTTGAAAAATTAAAATCCATGATAGTTTTCCTCGAGATAACCCATCTGCTTTTAGCAGGTCATGTGAGGCTGGTGCTGCGTGTACATTGACATTATGATGGGAAAAAGAGTTTCTCTAAATGAAATGCATAGTCTCCTTGAAGCTTATGACAAACTGCCAAAACAGAGCCAACGAGAGGCCGTAGCAAAACTTGGTGTTCTTCAGGCTGCCTTGTGCACAGTAATGACTGCTGGTGATGGAGACAGAACAGAACACCCTTGTCAAGTAGAGTGATGATGCCTGGTCACGTATATCCCCCTTGTTATGCCCCCAAATATCCAAATGACAGTAATCTGCATGAGAAATAAAGGAAAAAAAGTCAGTAATAATAATTATCTGCCCATAATGATTGATTTGACTCAACAGACATGGTCATTATTAAAGGTTTCCACTGTTTCTACCAGACAGAGCTCTCTTGGTTTAATGTTGAGTCTACAGACAGAAGTAGTTTGGTAGCAACTAGGGGTGGGTGATATGACCCTAAAATAATATCATGATATTTCAGGGTATGTCTGCAACAACAGTATTCTTGACCATATGACAGATTAGCTCAGAAAATATTTTATTATTGCAACAAAATAAGTGATATAATTTTACATGTCAACTTAACAGTTTGCCTTCAAATTTTTAGTAAAAACTAAAGAAAAATGACCTCATTTCTTTAGTTTTTAAACAACAGTAACTCAGAGTGAGATTCAGATTCTGTATACAATGTTAATAGTACAACAAAATAAAATCTACCACAAATTACACATTTAAACAGTTCCCAAATACAAAAATGTATCTTTGGATCTAGACATATAAATCCACAGGTAATTTCCTTCTTTTGTAGAAAAATCGTAAATGATTGAGTTATTTCTTTTTTCCAACTTGGACCTTTATGCTCTGCCATTTCTCCTCTAATCATCATGCTGTAACCTGTGAAAGGTGCCATAAGTATTGCATATTCACATATGTGTAGTTTTTTTGTTGAGCCCAGAGCGTCAAGTAGGTTTACATTACCAAAGGTTTATGAGAAAATCAGTTGACATCAGAGAGGAGAGGGAGCGGGGCGTCGGTGGCTTAGTCGTAGAGCAGGCGCCCCATGTACAAGGCTGTTGCCGCAGCGGCCCGGGTTCGAATCCAGCCTGTGGCCCTTTGCTGCATGTCATCCCCCCCTCTCTCTCCCCCTTCACACTTACCTGTCCTGTCCAATAAAGGCAAAATGCCCTAAAAAATATAAAAAAAAAAGAGAGGAGAGGGAGAGACACTGTGCTGCTGCCAGAGGAGCGGCTGAATGAGTTCCCTCTGAGTGAGCAGTAAGCCACTAAAAGAGTCAAGGGCTGTTCATAAAACATTTAGGACGCCACAGTTTATTTCACGCTACTTACACTACTTCTCTTTTTGCAGCCGCTGCATAGTCTGTAATAATTTCACTTTCAACCATACCTGTTGTTGCATAATGACGCAACAGTATGACGTCATTATATCAACAAGTTGAAATATTGCGAGTATTACGATATGAATTTTTCAAATTAAAAACCATACCAGTATTATTGCAAAGGAGATCATAAGGCACACCCCCAGTAGCAACATGTTTAGTACTTTGACTGGTAATTTGTTGATTACTGATTGATGACTAAATGTCTTTTAGGTGACATACTCAAATTATGGCTGTAATATGAAATTTTAATTAGAAGCGACAGCAATTTTCACAAGAATGACAAAATATTACCCTCATTTTTTCAACACTCCGATCACTGTAAGCAAACACAAACAAATTGAGACATAAGTCACCAGTTAATTGGGATACTGCCTGATCTGTAACTTCAGTGCTCTAACACTTACCTCATCATCAGTCCTGTCCTGCAGAGAATGTCTTGTATTTTCTTCAGTAGGGCTGTGTATTGGCAAGAATGTGGTAATATGATATGTATCACGATATGCAGGGGTTACGATTCAATACATTGTGGTATTGTGATATTGTAAGCAAGATATATTGCTGTTAAGTTAAGTCTTATGGCTTAAGATAGATTACAACACTTCTATCTAGCAGTGGAGGGTTTAAACACAACACAAAATTAACCACTACCATGAATCATTGCGTGTAAATTATCAAATAAAAATCCATATGTTGTTTTTGAAAATCAACACAGTATGACGAAACATAATATTGCATAACTCAAGTGTATCAATATTTTGTTACACCCATATTTGTCAGACCTAACATGTACCACATCGGGTTGAAATATGAATAGTGCTGTTTCTGCTGTTGCTACGGTTTTCTGTGATGCAATTAACACAACACTCTAAAAGTAGGTTATATTTTTGCCTACATGGACATGTTTTGGTAAAGGCAGCACAGAAATTGAGCACCATTGAATTCTCTATGTTAAATCCCTGTCATGAGGATTATGTGAGGGGATTGCAGTGAGACTAATATCCCCCACTGTAAGAGACAATCTGAGCTTGACTGGTGTAAAGGTCCCGATCACCTCCCTCTCCTCTGTCTCCCTGGTTCTGATTACAGGAAAGAGAGAGTGAGTTGGTGGGGGATATGATATCCTGCCAGCCACACCCAAAACTGACAAGATCTCGTTTGATTTTAGTGGAAGGAAGCATTTCTGTAATGTTTGCTGTATGACGGTCTCCTCCTTTTGCCCTGTCTCGTTAGCTGCATTCTTGTCTCGATGCACAGGAAAGCACATGCATTCACCAGCACTGCTTGGTCTTAGCCAAGTGACAACGTAACACACC